AGCCCTGAGCTCCTGATTTTGAAGCTCCAGACTCCAACACTCAGATTCAGATCCGATTTCATGGGCTGGAAATGTAAGTTACAATGCTGGATAACACAACTTCTCCCTCCTAAGAGATACTGAGAACAAATACTACACTCACTGAAGCCTAATTTTTCCAAGGTTTACATACAAGACACAAATACTACACTCACTAAAGCCTAATTTTTCCAAGGTTTACATACAAGAGCATCACAATAAATCTTCCTCTGGCATGCAGCAGGATCAGAAGACTACTCATTCTTTAGTCTACCAGATACTGCATAATTAACCTATAAAAAGCAACAGATACAGGTTAAACAGTGCTAAATATAACAGTATCCTTAAGACATATTAAAGGGACTGCAAGAGATACTGAAGAGAACCATCTACCTCAGCTTGTAAACTCTTTAGAGACAGGTTGCTTTGCAACCAAGAAACACCTCACTGCCATTTCCAATGAAAGAAATGAATCACTACACAACACTCTCTAAAGAAGGTGGTTTATACAGAGGGAACTACCAGGAAGTTAGAAGAAAACCATGTACAGGTCATCTTTGGAGCCAGGACAGCGTTAAGAACTTCCATGGAGAAGCTTAAAACAAGGGTTGAACTTTGGGAGCCAGATGTTTGTGTTGCTAGTTCCTTGTGCTGCACATCCCCTCTTTGTTCCAGCCCTTGGGTCTGCCTCCCAAGAGTCAGAAAGAGAATGGAAAAAGGTTGGCCTAGACAGTGAGTAATGCGAGTGCACTGTACTGATAACCAGAGCCTGAGAATCAGGGTTAGAGTAACGAAACCTCAAGCGAGCAGATGAATAAAGTAGATGAACTATTTCCACCCAAAAAAAGAGAACTGACTTGTGCTCATTCGGAAACAGCCCCACACCCCCAACAAATCAACAGCTCAAAATGCTAAAGGTGACATAACTGACAGAGTGAGCACAGGATTGAGAGTAGGCGACTCTTTCAGCTCCACATCTGCTGCCAACACGCAATGTCTGCTTCTCCCCCAGCCACCTTCTGCCCTGGCTGTGAACAGGGCTCCTTGTGAAACAGTTCAGTTAAGGATTTGGGAAGGTTTAACTGTGACAAATGGCAATTATAATACTGACAGTTTATATAATTGTTACACAACTCTCCAGGCTGCAGAAAT